CAATCCTCAATATCAACACAATCATTATCCATTGCTAACCGTGCTTATAGAACCTCTAAACGAAAATGCCCCAATCACCCGTTTCCATCGAAACCCGGAACAGCCCGAGAATATATAAATCACCCAGATCATACCAAACACTAGCAAATTTCTCCAAGTAACTTTACAATTCTTTCCCCAAAATAAATATAACCACTCCGACACTAACACTGAACAACACAATTACGAAGATGAACATGTACTAATCCGTACACTTCATTGGACATCATATCCAAATTTTCCAAATCCACTTGCTTTACCACTCCTTAACACACTACAGGACATAGAAAGGAAGAAAAATGACCTTTTCAGACTAACTACAGCACTAACTCCTCGGCAGTTTACACATGTAGGATACAAAAAGCTATTAAAAACATTCACTGCACCCCGCGCTTACAAGTATTCCATCGAATACTACGACCACAATGTCATCAGACCTAACCAAGATCATTTCCTCGACGACGATCAGTTCGCTAACCCGCAATTAACCGAAAAAATCTTGATCCGAATACCTTATCTTTTCACACTTAACGCACTAGATAAAAAACACGATCACATCATTTCAGAAGCACTTTGTGACATCCAAGTTTATGAATCATTTTTGAAAAATTTGAAACCTTTTCACTAACCTTTCACTTCCTCACTCCCAAAGAACGTGATTTGCACTGTTCACACGACATCATGTTAAGAACTAAACAGACACACACTTACACTTATTAAGATTCATGCAAAATCACTTTGACTTACATACACCATCACGACAGCCCCATCATCAATATCATTTTATTAACTCCAAATACACATAACCTTTTTTTTAATTTTCACATATTGTATTAAAAATACTAACTTTCAAGGCATTCTCCGTAACTATGACCCGATCACGCAAATGTATATATTCTGTCCCCTCACCAAAACCTTCAACGAAGAAGAATCCCGACCACTCATTGTCCCGCATGAATACATCCATTCTGTTGAAGTACCATTTTAAGAGTTCATACACAACACTAAATATAATCACGTGCTTTTTAATTTAATCCAAAACACACCTTATGAGATTTCCGTTGGCACTGAAAAACTAAAAAACATTAAAGCACTCCAAATGCTTTGGCCACTGCTTCAGACTAAAAAAATCATTCGCATATTAGCAAAGCTACTAACCACATCTGATGTCATCCACAATGTTTTCCCTCATGGCTTCTTTCCCGATGAATAAGGTAAGCATGAATTGAATAAATTAAAACTAAAAAATTCAAAATACAAATAACCATTCCTAATTAAACGTTTTTTCTTTTTCTTTAGTCTTTAGATCACAATCACCTACAAACAGAAAAATCAAATTAAAATACGAATCTTTTTTTACAAAACTATAAACTTCTATTAACAAACCGCACTGAATGATACAGTAAAACTTTTTCCCATAGTAGTAAATTCATCTATAATTTCTTTTCCCCAATGTAGTAAATCTAAAAACAAAGAAAAAAATTAATAATTTCAACCCCCGCAAATCGGTAAATTTAAAAATTCAAGTACTAAACTTATACGAAAGAAAGCAGTTCTAACCTTTTAAAGACGCTTCTTTAAATTCACTCGCAAAAGAATTCTATCCAAACTCGCACAGCTCGCCCACGACGAATTGTTGAAAATAATGAATTTTAAGTTTTAACTTTGACTAACAACAACCTAAACAAGCAAAAACAAATTTCAAACTTGCTTTTAACCCGACTGTCTCGCTTCTCGCTGTATAACCAAAATTGTGTGATGGGCGTAATGAGTAACAGTGGTGCTCATGACTATGAATTTAAGTCCTTTATGCATAATGAAATAAGCAAGGGCCTAAAACTAACCCCAGCGGAAAAACGTGAAGCACAAAAAAAATAAATTATGCTTTGAAATCGGCAACGGTTGGAAAGGAATTATAAAATAATCTAAACTAACCAACGCAGCTTACTAAACACCATAAACCACAAACTAACAGCATGACTGAGAAAAGAAAACCCACGGTACCCAAACCGGATTAAACCAGCTTAAACAACTGGTTGAATTATTCTTTTGAAGACTATTGAAAAGTCCAAAAAAGAAACAATAGAACACCAAAAAGTCGCAAGACAAACCCAAACCAAACAATTCGATTTTTAAGAAAAGGACACAACCAAAACAACAAAAGAAAAAAACCAGTAACAAACACAACATGAAAGGTTAAGACAAAACAGGACCCCATAAAAAACCAGCATACAATCATACCCTCACTCCTGGCCTAACCCATCAGAAGAGGACGATCTGAGCATGCTTAATAGCCGGCCTAACCCACCGGGCTAGAGAACACGCTTTGTGACCCACTCCCTATTTTTGACGAGAACTACTCAAGGGTGAATAACTCTTTAAAATAACACAACTAAATTAAAACGCTTTTGCAATAAAAACTAATAAAGAATCATAACTAAAAACAGAACTAATAAAAATTTATATATATAAATTATATAATGCAGTATATAGATCACACCTAATCACGAAGACGAGCATCAAGAAACTAGACGACCCCCTCACACTCAATCTACAGAATGGCTAAACACAACCGATAAGCCGCCCACAATCACAACTCAAAGGATTTGAAGTACGACTTGACTTCGCAGCAAAGGATTTTATTGAATCAGACCAATGAACACCTCGATGTCTAAGTATACGTACAGATCCGAGTTACAAGGCATTCCCTCCAAACTCAATCTTCACGCCATTCCCAAAAAGGATCGGAACACATTCAGTTCTCCGCTGAAGAAGAACAAACAATCATAACAAACCATTTGGAAATCAGATTGATTTTGTTGGCGGTCACAGTCATTGTTGAATGACAAGAATAATATCGACGATTCCAGCTTCTTGGAGCTTCCTTCTCCAAGAACGGAACCAAGAAATGATGCTCGCGAAATACAAACAATCATCAACCATCCTCCATTACAGATAGAAGTCAAAGAACAAAATTTCTGTAAAGCCCGGATGGGTGGAACCAGATCCAAACTATAATTTGTTATTGGTTTTAATTTAGATATTTTATCCCTATAAAGTATTAAAGACTAACCAATCATACTCCTTCAAACTAACAACCCATTTAATTGTAAGTGCTGAAATTACTTGTAATTTTAGCACCAGATAGATTTGAATTTAACTTAGAACTTAGTTGTTTTCTGCAAGAGACCGAATCGTAGTAAAACCAGTATACTCTAGATCTATTGAGACTAAGAGATATAAGAGTAAGATTAAGATCGGTATTAGACTAAGAAGTTGCACGAATCTATCCGGCCGAAAATAAGATAGCGTGACGAGCAGACGGTGAACACTATCTAAAATTACTCTATGTGTTAGACCTTAGGTCCCAACTCAATCGTCCCTAGAAGTGGGATGATGAGATTTAACTCTCAGTTTTGCAATTTTGCATTTTTTTTTCATTTACCGCTTGTTTTTTCTTATTTTTCATAATTTCACGCAATTCAATCAATATTGACTCAAAAAAAAACAACAAAAAATCTAGCGATAAGTTGAGGAAGGTAGCAAAAGTACCTTCATATGATTTCCATAACCCTGTTTTAAAAACTGCAAATAAAATTAAAAATCATCTTGAAAGTTTGAACCTAGCAGATAAAAAAATTCCAAAAAAAGTACAAAAAACTTCGTAACTTCATTTTAAAAGAAGTCTAGGACATGTGAAAAAAAACATCTGTTTTTGTTTAAATATGTATGAGTTTCATGTTTCATCATGTGTCCATGATGATATTTAGATATCGAATGAAAACTGAAAAAAAAACAATTTTTGTTTTTACTGTTTCCGGTCATATATTTTTCATATGAAATCAGAGTCAAAACTACCAAAAACACGTGAGCTCAGTAGGAGAAAAGTACAAAGTAATCAAGCAGATTGTTTTTTTTTGAAGAATCGTCTAAAAATGAATTGGAAAAAACTGCTTATTCTGATTGCGTTTAATTTTTTGATACTGTTTAAAAGTTACCAAGCTGGGTCTGTTTCTCTTGAGCCCAAATCCCCTCCAATTACAGAGTGCCCTTGCTTGACTCCCAGCAAAGGCGGGCGACCCTGGAAAACAGAGAAAAAACAGAGTTTGGAAGAGTGTCACAATTTGTGTTGGGATAAAATTGAGCGATGTGTGGGCTTCAGCTATTGCGTAAGTTAGTTCGGAAAGAAATTATAAGATTCGGAGCACACCCCCCCCCCCCTCTCTCTCTCTCTCTCTTTCTCCATGTCATATTTATTTCTCAAACCAATAGAATGATCTATTGGATCGAAGAAAAAATTCTGTAATTGTTCTCCGCTTAATGAGACACCTGAAAAGGGCCGTGCTGGCGTAATGGTGTTCTCCCATCCGATCAGATTCATATTTATTTTTGTAATTTTATATAAATAACTCTGTAACTAGATATCGTTTGGAAACAATTATTATGATTATTAAAAATGACCATCGTAATTTCAGCCAGTGAGTGAGAAGTGTGAACTGTTTTCACATGAGACCTTGACCTACACTTTCCCCTCGGTGGAGAAAAGGGACTGTGTGAACAACCCATCGGAGAAGCAGCCCACACTCAAGACATGGCACCTGATTGGAGAAACACAGAGTTGCGAGACACTCAAACAGAATGACCCTTCACTACCAAGTAAAACTTAATCGCTCCCTCAAGAGTTTAAGCTCAATATGAGGCATATAGTTTCATTTTTAATCAATTTTGCTGTGAATTTTGCGCTTACACTCAAATTTCATACTAATTAAAGCCTAGGGCGCTCACTCAAAACCACCGGGATGGGTACTTGGACTTCCAATTCGGGTTTTATGAAAATTTTGGAAATTTTGGATATCCGCGCTTTTCCTCTTGCGGTAAAGCCCGCAACATGTAATTTTTTTGGAGACACCAGCGGATTGCAATAATACGATTTTATGATACCTGAACTGAGTTATCAGGTGACAAATACGAGATCCTGGTGCAAGGTCACTCTGTTCCCGTGTACTGCGACATGGCGGCATCGCCCACCGCTGCGACATACCTCAGGCTTCCGGACACACCCCAGACCCGCACTCGATACGGTGGCGATAGAACAGTCCCATATGAAACGGAATCGGCGGTTGGAAAAACGACAATCTACCACATGGTAAATATTATGTAAAATTTATCTAAACTTGATGTAAAATCTACGTAGATATTATGTAAAAAAGAAAAACCACGAACTATGAACATAAAAATCCGACCTCGACTTTATGTATTATTACATATTATGATAATATAATTGTTGTGTAAAATTTCCCGCATTGGTATTCCATAAAAGAAAAATCTATTATAATTGAGTTTCACTGTCAGTGCCCACAAAAGTTTTTAAAAAAATCAATTATGATCAATTTAAAATGGATTAAAACATTACGATTTTTCGAGGCAACAAATTTCATTTTTAATCCAATATAATCGATTTTTTTTCTCTTTTGTGGATACTGACAATAAAAATCAATTATAATCAATTTTTCTCCACTTTATTGAGATGCGAATTTCAACGCATATAAAACCTTTTCTACGTTGGTTATTTTTGATTACTAAAATTGGTTATTTTTGATTATTTTAAAACATTGATTATTTTGTATCTCTTTCATTTTACTCAATAGCTGAGATTTGTTCCTTTCAACAATTGCCCGCTTCTGTCCCCTACAATTTTAGTCCCTTTGCCCCTTTGTACCCCTTACACCCGCCATTCCCAACCTGAATCAATCCCAACCCCCCTCAATCAAATGAATCCCAACTAAACTAACACCCCCCCCCCCCCACCCACACCCACCCAACCCGAACCGGATGGGGGCAATGGGACAAACGTTGGGATGGGGGTTGTAAGGGAACAAAGGGCCTAACGTTAATGGGGAGAGGTCAACGAAACGTTTTTGAAATTTGAGTTTAGGTTTAGAAGTGGAGAAGGCCCTACACTCACTTTGCAAAGCTTTCGCACTACTCATTTCTAAAATGCCGAAAATCTTGCAAAACTTTGCACGACGCGAAACGAAAATAAAGTGGAAAAAAATCCATTTCAATGTGATTTTGTATTTGTTTTATAATCCATTATAAAGGATTTCAATTGAATTATAACGCATTATACTTTTGCGAGAAAAGGTGGATTTAAATCCATTTTTTGTGCAATTTTGTTGTCTAAGCCTAACATGGGAATCGATTATATTGACAATGTTTTAGACCGCAAAAATGCATTATAATCAATTTGTTTTTCACCTTTCTTGATGTGGGTTGTTTATAATATCAGTTTATATGGGGATGACTTTAGATGAGAATTGTTTTCATGACTGAACTACAGATCAAAGCTGACAAAAAAATACTGCATTATCAGCTTCCTATAGCGCTTAATGGCTTTATAAACAAAAGTTCTGGATACCAGTCAATTTTTTGTTTGGTTCTTCTTGCTTCAATAATAAATTTTACTCATTCGTATAAATTGAGTCAGATCGATATGCAAATGCTTGAAACTTCTCAGTCTAAAATTTTTTGTTCACATAGTCAAACCATTTTTTTTAAATGACCATGGTGCCCAAAATTCAATTCAGCATCAATTTTACCATATTGGGAAATACATATTTTTGCTTATGATTCGGACAAAAACCTTCAGTTTTTTTTAATCTTCAGACCAGATTGGAGATTGACGAATGCTTGGTGTACATTAAACAGGACGACCAGAGATTTGTTTCGGGATTTATCTGGGACGACACCACCCACGTAGCTAGAGGCACCTTCAGGAAAGATACATTCAGTAAGATGTAGAAACGAATACGCATATACGTTTGTAGCATAATTCAGTAGCAGATTTAAGGGGGCGGGTTGGCCGTTTTGGGGAGGGGGCTTCCCTCTTTGTACCGTTTTGAGATATGCATTTTTGGCTGGCTACCCCTTATGGACTTAGCTTGAAGACAGTTTTTTGAAGAACTCAAAAATTGATAAGACTTCAAAAAAAAATTATTATATATTTTTTTAATTTTTTGAAGTATTCACCCCACCCCGCACCGAAGTTTCTCGGATAAAAATAGATTATATTGAGAAAATGTTGCCGAAAAAATTGCCATTATAATCGATTATGTGTAACCAATTTAAGCAACATTTTCTATTGTAATAGTACGAAAATAGATTATTTTCATCAAGAATATATTGCCTTGTAATTCAACTAAAATGTATTTTTATCTCCACATAATCTCAATAAAATCTATTTTTTTTTGCCCTGAAATCGCCATGAAATTGCAATAAAATTGATTGCTTTCGCCATAAAATTGCAATAAAATCTTTTGTTTTTGCCATAAAACTGCAATAAAATCTTTTGTTTTTGCCATAAAACCGCAACAAAAACTATTGCTAACGCCATAAAAATGAAATAAAATCGATTAAGTTGTCAAAAAATTTGATTATATTGTCAGAAAAATTGATTTTTCTCTTCTTAAAAGCATGCTATTTAAAAACTCAAAGCAAAAGTTGAATTCAAACCAAACGACACAAATCATGAAAATCATCAATATAGACAAGATTTTCGGCACAAAAAATATGCAACAAAAATACAAAATATCATCATTGTAAATCAGATTTTGTGCAAAAACATATGTAAAAATTCAAGAATCTTGTCAAAATAAACCGGATTTGAGCTCGAAAATATGCAATGAAATCATAGTAAATCTTTATTGTAAATCAGAGCTGGGGCAAAATTTTATAAAACAAATGATTAAATGGGTCAATATAAAGCACATTTTGAGCTCAAAAACATGCAACAAAAATGTAGAAAATCATCATTGTAAATCAGATTTTGTGCAAAAACAATTGTATTATAATCGATTATTTCACTCTGCGACCACAAAATCACCAGATAATTGATTATTAAAAGAATAATTTTTGGTTCGACCACAAAATTGCCAGATAATAGATAATAATCGGAGAAACTTCGGTGCGGGACGCGCTTTGTAGAATACTCATTTGTTTGATTCGCGTCTTTCAACGTTTTGTAAATTCAAATTGAAACGAAATTAATTCTGAGCAAGATGTTTTCGCCGCGTACAGTTTAATATGGAAGAAATTATATCACGCGTTATCTCTTCTCATTTGGCCATATTGGCATTTTCAAATGAAAATTTTATACAGAAATTTTACGCGTGAAATACCCTTTTGACCCGACTTTTGTAACGAAAATGTCCCGACTTGTTATCGGGGTGGGTTTTTTTTCTTCAGACCAATTTCGACTTTTTAACTAGCCAATTTCGACGGATTTTTTTAATATCATTCGAAAGCTATTATTGTCCTGAGCTTAAATTTGAAAAGTTAGTTTACCTATGATAATTTTTTGTAAAGTTATGGGGGTTTAGAGATTGCCATTTTGGCCAATTTGGGACAATTAACGCGCGATATTTTTCGCGCTATTAACGCGTACTATGCGGAAATTTAATCCGTCTTAGAAATTGTTCCAAATTGGTTCAAGGAAGCTAATATGCCATAATCGATTTGTTAATAGGAGCAAAACCTATCATTTTGTACTACTTATGATGAGTGGGGGGATTTTTTCACAAAAAAATCTCAATTTTTTTAAAAAACATTTTAATATTATTTGTTTACGTTTAAATTTCATGTTATTACTGATCCATGGACCTTAAAATGCAGTCTAAACAGTCAAGGCTTCGCCCTGATACGAACAGTCTTGTTAAATTTAAGCTAATGACATCTATAAATTTAGATGATAAATAAAACTCCCTTCAAATGAGGCTAGTTAAAAACTTGAAATTTGTCTACGAAAAGAAACCACACCTAGCAAAATCATTTCATCCTTTCTTCAAAAATCGCTGCAATTATCATTTTTTTTTTCAAAAATCTGCCTATCGCATGACAATTTGAAGTAAAAATGAGTAGATTCGAACCCTAAACACTACAATCTGATTAATTCTTCAAAGAAATTTTTTTCCTACTTTTTCAACTAGTTTTACAAGTTTTCGGTGTTTATACTTAGATAGCTTAAAAACAACCTCAATGAGGTTTAAAGGACAATAAACATTTATAACGGATTTTTATGGTCTGTCTGCAGAAGACGTTAGAACAATCGATTTTCAGGATTAAAAACCGATTATTTATTAAGCAATATAGATCAATTCGATCCAAACTAATTGGTTGTAATGAATTACAAAAGACTATAATTGTTCCGACTTTCGATACAAAAATAACGGAATATTTCTGCTCGGGGTGAGTTTTTTTTTCTTTAGACAAATTTCGAGTTTTTAACTAGCCATTTTTGACGGATTTTTTTTATATCATTCAAAAGGTTTTGTTGTCCTGAGCTCAAAATTGAAAAGATATTTTACCTGTGATCATTTTTCCTAAAGTTATGGGGTTTAAAGATTGCCATTTTGGCCAATTTGGGACAATTAACGCGCGATATATTTCGCGCTATTAACGAGTAAGCGGATATTTAATCCGTCTTAGAAATCGCTCTAAATTGGTTGAAAGAAGCTTATTTGCAATAATTGATTTGTTATTGATTTATGATTACATTGGATCATAAACGATTATACTCTTTTTAAGCACCAACCAGGATTTTTCAAAACCACCTTTTGTTTGTTTCAAAGCTGGAACGTTGCGGTTGTTTTATTAAAGTTTACTTTTGTTTTAAAAACTTTTATAGTCTACAATTGTTGGGTTCTTCACGTTTTTTTTCTCAATGTTTTCTCATTGAAATTATCCCTCCGCTTAATCCCTCCTTTCTTACTTTTTCTTCTACCACCTCAACCCTCAACCCCCACACTTAGCTACCCCATGTATCCACCCACCCCCCCCCCCCCCCCCCCTATAAACCCCTTCAGGAATCAGGAGTTCGCTATTTCTTATCAAAAAATTCTAAGATACGCGTAAAAACGTACGTCATGTTTCAGCTTACTTTGAAAACTCTTGAGATAAGTATGGGAGAGGGTACTAACAGTTTGACAATTCTGCAATGAATAAAGTTTTGACAAAAATAAGTGAATCGGAGTAGGTTTAGAAATTAAGTGAAACTTGAGTAAGGCAAAAAAAATTGCAGATAGTACAGATAATTTCAAAAACATTGCACAAGTTATAACAGATTATAATGTTTTATTATGAATTTTTATGGATTCTAATCGATTGAATTTTTTTTTAAAAATCTATTTTTATCAATTGCGTGGTCCCAAATTTGAACTATAGTTCAGTTTTGACCTTGAAAACAAATTATATTCGAAAAGTATCCATGTTATTTCATTGTTTATACTTTACACATGTTTGCAGAATGTGAAGAATTCTTTTAACAGATCTTAGATAGACAACTAGGATGAATGATTTGGATAGATGTGAGTTTAAGAGATACTAACTAAGCTAATCTAAGTGTCAAAATTAGGATAAAACTAAGTTGAAAGATAAGTTGAATTATCGAAGATCTGATCTTTAAAAAGGTAAGCATTTAAATGAGCAATGGTCGTCCAAAAGTCATATCATGTTTGACGGGTGTTTAAAAAGAAAGGGCCCCCTTGAAAGTTTACATCAATTCAGATTGAGATCACATTTGCTTTTCACTGATAGGAGAGGCTACGAAAGTTTGCTTATTTTTTCACCAAAATGAATGGTTTGAACAACAGAAACTTTCTTCCCTGTAGTTTAGACAAAAGAAGTTATGATGGTAGTAAGAACAGACCCAATTTTTTGAAACCACAATCAATGATAGTGCAGCTGTGCGAGATTAACATTGTTAACAGTTAAACACGAGTGGGTAGACTATTCTCCAATAAGATGTCTAACATAAATGAGCAACGGTTGTTAAAATTATGAACGTCATACGACGTCAGGATCTACTAGAATGTAAGTAGGCAGATTAACAAACATAAAACAAACGCACCTGGCGGTTTACTAACTTGGTATAGATGGGTTTAGATGCGTATTTGAACCTGGGATAGATGGGTATTTTTGGAAGGTACGTGGGCAATTGGTTAATACGATATGAACACTAACTAAAATCTTAAGATTTTAAGAGTTAATCAGTTTGCTGTTGGACAGTTTTCAGGCTCCATAGATCGGTTAGAGAATTAGGTTCTCTTGGCTTTCTGGATTGACAATACCCTCAGTTTGTTTCTAGTAATGCGACGGCCTAGTACGTCAAAATTATCGTCGAGGGAATCCAATTGTATCCACTGTTCAATGGGGGACAGATTTACTTCAAAGTGGTGAGTTGGGGCGTCAGTAGGGCTGAAGAAAACGGTTGCTAGATATGAACTGAGCGTCGTTCCCCTTAGGGAATCTTATTGAATAGAAGGCTCTTTCACTGAATGTGACTCGGAAGCAGGGGATAGGTCTAATTTTCCTGAACTCTAGGATGGCTCCTCAGCCGTGACTGCTTCTAGGGGATCTCATCTGGGAGTAGCGATCATTGAGGTCTCGAGCTCACCCGGGCGATTGTCCGAGTCTCCTTCTACCAGGTTTGTGAAAATGCGTTCCCTCAGAAGGTTTCGCGGTTGACCAGATCTCATTGGTCTGGAATTATGTCGAATTGTGTCCGAATGTTTCGACGGCGGAAGTGAATGAATTGGCGAGGAGGCCTTCCTATTAGCTGCTCTAGAAGGTTTGCCCTGAAGCCCCAAAGGCTTTGTTACTTCGCGTTTTGGTAGCGTTACGATCTTTGGTTGGGGTTTGGTCAGGGTTCCTCGAGTAGGAGGCGTGCTGTTCAGATCTATAGTATTCAGAATGGACGTAGTAGGAGCGGCGATTCTGTTTGATTTCAGATGAATA